CGCTGTCCTCAGCTTACCTATAGAGAAAGATTTAACTTGTTTGTCAGAGAGAGAGGAGGAATAGCCCTAGGAAAGGTCACACAAAAGAACAGACTTGCTCAACAGTATTAGCTTATTTCAGTAAGGAGCTGAACATAGTAGCTTTGTTCTCAAAAAAGTAATAGAAAATAAGGTATCATAATTATCAACATCCAAACCTGTCCATTACCAACTAGGAAAAAAAATGGTTAAAACCCTTTGGAATGAGATTTCTGCTCAGAAGGCCATTTTTCCCCAGTTCCTTCCAGATCTCAGCCAGGGCAGACTCAGTAGGAGACCAGACTAATATCCCAGGAAAAAGTGTCTTTTACCAGAACTCACACTAGCCTGAACCAAAAAATAAATTGTATGATACTTTACTAGTTACTGGCCAGTCATTTTTTTCTAGGTTTCTTGTTTTTTTCCCTTAAATTCCATATTTTTTCAGTTCATGATTTTGATTCTACACAATTAGGATAGTGTTTTTCTACTCAATCCTGTTTTTTATTCAACTATGGATTTTTTAAACATTTGTAACATTACAATTGAGATTCACCTGTGAAAAGCTGCAAAGCTTTTCAAAGTGTTAAGTCCAAAACGTCAACAATAGTAAGACAATGTACGTTAATGGAAGAAAAATTAAGTAATGACATATATCCATTCTATGCAATATGACTCATTCATTAAAACTCAAGGACACAGAATGCAGACAATACTTTTTTTAATAAAATACAATTACAATGAAATAAACAAGACACTATTTATGAAAAGGAGACTGTGGAGAAATATAGCAAAAAATTAATTTATGTATGATGTGTCAAAGTGCTTTTTGCTGTCATATGTAACTAATTAGAATAAATAATAAATAAAATATATATTTAAATATACATATATTTAAAAAATAAAATATATATATATTTAATAGTGATAGCCTTTTATAATGGAATTAGTGATGACTTTTTAAAACACCCTCTATTTCTCTAATTTTAAAATATTTTTTAGAGTGTATATGATTTTTCAGATGGAAAACTAATTCAATAAATTCTTCATTTTCAATTTAATCAATACATTCTCAGAAGTAATCAGTATAACAAAAACAAATAAAAGTACAAAGTATCAGCCAATTCAAATCACCCAATCCATTTCTTTTTTT